TATGAGATTTAGTTGAAATGACAGAAGTGCACAAATATTTATTTCAAAGCATAGCATTCATAGCATAGCATAGTGTAGCGTAGCACAGTATAACACAGCATAGTGTAGCGTAGCATAGTATAGCATAGCATAGTGTAGTGTAGCATAGTATGATATGTTATAGTATGGTATAGCATGATATAGTTTCTGATAACAAGCTGTAATGCTGAAAGTGAATTTACCAGCTCTGTCAGTGTTTCTGATACAACAGCAGTCGTGAGGTGTTTGTTGATGTTTCTCGAACGTCTCGAGATGCGAGATTCAGCTTCAAACCTCTTGAGGTGAGAGCCTCCAATAACAAGTGTGTTTAATCTGCCTGCTTCTCTGAGCACCCAGGGGGAAACATGCGCACTTAACTTCACCTGTTTGCAGTTTAAATTGCTTTCACATTGACTGCATAATGGGGTTTTTTTTCCATACTTTCAGTTTTTTTCCTCAGTGCCCATTCTCCACAGAAGAGAATGCTGTGGACTTGTACTCGTTGATTAAATTGAGGAGGAGGAGTCCGCCACTTGTTTTTCAGTCTTGTGCAGAAGTGGCAGGACGAGCAAGGTGATTGCGATGGGGCTGTTTTCATGTCATCATTCTGAGGGCACTGGAGCTGACCAGGCCACACGTGGGAGGCCTGTGTACGTCTATACCTTCAGCAACATGCAATAATTAGATCTAACAAATTTCTGTCTAGGATCCAGATGATTTTTTGGTTGTTTCCTTTAACAAGATTGGAGAATGATAGATAGGCTTAATTTCAAAGAGGGCTATACCTCACAGTATGTGGTCAGGTGTAAACAGGAAACCCTGATATATTTTGCTTGTCCGGCCTTAATTTAAGGGAGGCTTGATCTTATTATCATTGGGGGGGGGGTTCTCACATCAATTATTATTAATTAAAGTGCTCAGTTTACATCCAGGAGCCTCCCCTCCCTCTATGAGACATCCCTGACTAATTGTGATGGTCACAGTCGTGGCCATAAATCTTTCGTTTTCAGCAGCCTGTGGTAGGATCCGTGATGCAAAGCATGATGGGCGTCATAGTCATATAGCTGGTCTTTGCAAGAGGATTTCATGTTCTGTGATATCCATCATTGAGAACATCTGGAAATATCGTTTGCAAGTCTTGGTTCGTAACCTGGAGTTCTGATTGCATTGCAGCTGTTTTTTTTTGGTGGGGGAGAGTTTTGTTTACTTGTGGGTGTGTGTGCCCTACAATTGCCTGCAATCATATCCAGAATGCCCCCTGCTTGGAGCTCTATGCTGCCTGGGACAGACTCCAGCCTGAGAAGATAAATGGCTGATCTGGGATGAATATAACTTCACCTGATGAGCTGAACCTCCCTCACAAGATACCAGCGCCGTTACACTCATTGAGGACAACAAGTTAATTCAAGCGCCTTCTTGCTAAATCACTTTTGACCTGGGACATTCCTCACACTCTAACTGTAATTGAACCAGATAACAGAAGGCAGTTTTGTGTTATAACGAGAAAGACGAGAAACAATCTGAATTAAATTTCACAGCAGAAGCATCATAATCTACCCCCCCCCCCAGCTGAAGCAACAACCCCTGCAGAAGTCCATAATCACCCATAGCCATTAGATAAAACATTATCCTTTAGTTCAATTTTTTTCTCCACTTTAAGGTAATGCATTTTAAAGTATAATGCTTTATCCCTTTAAGTGTAGATTTAGAGGAACTTATAATAAACTCACAAGGGGAAAGACAGACTTTTACTCAACAATTTTTTTTTTACTTATTCCCCCCCCCACCTCATCCCACAATCTACAAAATGAGTTTGATCTTTTGATATTTCACCAAAGAAGCTCAATACGAATTGACAACTGGTTGTTAAACCCCCCCAGAAGCACGATGTATGGCTAATTGGCTCGGGAGCGTCCAGAGCAGGTGGCCCGGAACACGCCTGAGGTGACGCCGAGGAAATCCGCGAAACTGGCACTCATTTGTCCATCTTGATTCGGTACAGTGATGGCCGCCCTTCACTACTGCCTGTTACGGGCTAAGTCAAGACGGCAGGCCAGCAGTGCAGTTCTCTGTCAGGGAAAATGCTTTCTGACATTACATTTTAGATATTTAGCTTTTATCCGAAGTGACACACATTTTTTTTGACAAAGCAGGGTTAGGCAGCCCCTGGAGTAATTGGTGGGTTAGGGTCTTGCTCAAGGGCCCAACAGCGGCATCACTCTGCTGACCCAGGGATTTGATCCAGTAACCTTTCGATCAAAAACAGAGCATCCCAACCCCCTGAGCCACACAGCAGCCCCAAAGCCTTTATGGCAGATATACCAGGACTCAATAAACAAAAACACAGGAGCTCGGCAGGGAGAAGTAGCAAACGGATGCTTTGCAATAAAATGACTGACATATGCAAATGTTTGTATTTTGTTTGTATTTTTTTCCACAGGCCATGTTGATCCGGCCATTGTCATATTGGTAGGGCATATATTTTCAGCGTCCGTGACTGACAGTATGACTCGGGGGGGCTCTGGGAGTGTTCAGGCTTCAGACAGGGCCTAAGTTTTCTACAGCCATTTTCCTGTTTCTAGGATGATGCAATAGCATTTTAAATTAAACTGGCGGGTGGGGGGGGTGCGGATCATTAAGGTGATTTAGCAGCCAGTTTTATCTAAAGCAGTTTCCACGGCTCAGAATTAGTATGGCTATTTATAGAGAAAGATATTTTTTATTGCACTCATTCATCGGGTGCAGCAGCAGAACCCTTGTGATGCAGATCTTTAGCGATTAGGCCTCCCGCTGTCCTCTGTTAGTCAGTCTGGCCTCTGCTTTACTGAGGGTTACTGAAATCTCTGTGCTGCAAGTCACATGACATTTTCTAAAAAAGAAGTGTGGATTTCGGTGAGACATTTCCCCCTCCGTTCCGAGGATCAGAGGCTGAGGAACTCGGTAATCAAGCTTCCGGAACAGCGAAAACTACCAATAAGATTAGGATAAAGTTTATTGATCTCATGGGGAAATTCTTGAAATGGGCGAATCAAACTCAGGCTATGGCGGCACTAGTGCCAAATACTGACCACCAAGGACCCCCTAACACTTTAGGCAACCAATAATGATTGGGGCTGTTTTAACAAAACCACACGCATACACAGATGTAAATATCTATGCATACATGTCTGATTCTCAACTACCATTAATCGCCAGTCATCCCTGCTGTAAATTGTTACACACAAACAGCATTTCTTAGTAAATATAGCATTTAATGCGAAATAGAGTCATTATATGAAACATTCATTTGAAGAGAGCTACCATAACAGTCCCAACAGAACAGCAAAAGTTACACAGACAAGAAATCATTTGCTGTAACATCAGGTCGACGTGTGTTGCAATACAGATGCGACTCTTCTCCGTCCATGTGACCACGACCGTGTGTGAGAACGAGTGTGTGCTTGAGTTTCACATACACACCTGTGAGACAAGTTATACAACCTAAACAGACTCAGGATAAAACGGCAAAACGAAAACTGACAGGTGAACTCTTTCAGCGTGGTTAACTTCAAATACCAAGTTGTGCTAGAGAATACTTCCCAGCTTCTCAGACTGCACTTGAAAATCCATATTTAAAATCTTTTTTTTTTTTTAAATCCTTTCTTACAATACTTCAAGTACAGCCTTTAGATATATCAGTCCAAAATAACTATTTACAGATGGGCTGTACTTCATTACCATGTCTGGTGTACAATGCTATCTGAAAGATTCCTTCCACACACACACGGTTAAACGGGATTACTCGATTTATATATAGCGTTCTACTCAGGTCGGATAAATGTGCCCTGGGTCGGCCAGGGATGGGTTCATTGTTTCTGGGGACCCATCGCCTCAGTTAAAAAGACACTTAGGGGACACCCCTCCCTTTAGACCCCTCCCTTTAGACCCCTCCCTTTAAATAAATAGCCAGCTAGTAGAATCAAAAGATTGTAGCTACTGTAGCTGGCTGGCTGAACATGCTGCTTCACCTTCTCAGGAATACAGGTTATACATTTTACATTTTTTTTAAATGAAGTGACTGTTTGTGGCCAACATGGGGATAAACCTTGGGGGCTGCACACAAATGTGTGGCTTGAGTGATGGTAACCCCCTCCGACCCAAGTGTGTCTTCTCTCTTCATTTCTTATTCCAGAATTAACCGTGTCCCTGTTTTGCTCTTAATCCAGTTTTATTTCTGAGTAATGAAAATAAGGAAGTTGACCTTTCTTGTATCATGTTAAAGGGATTATAACAGACACATAATTATCCTGCTAACAAACAAAAACAATCTCCCCGGCTGCACCCTGAAATGTTTTCCTGGGTTTGGGTGGATGTATAGAGAGGATGGGACACTAGGCTGGGAGAAGGTGTTAATCAGCACATCTATCACTGCATATGTTTTATTAATGCTAAACTCCTGTTGCTGAGGCAAAATGGAGATTAGCAACTACATGTGTGTGGAGTAGATTTAGAGACTAAATCATTTTAATTGTGCGGTTTCATATCGGCCCTCATTTCACAAGTCCTCTGTAGTTAATGGAAATAGAATGGCTTTTAAGGTGTTAATCCTAGAGTATGTACATTTTCATTCCACGTGGCGATTTCCATCAGCCATTTTTACACAAGCATAGATGCATAAATAAACTGGAAAATAAAAATAGAATTTTGTGGAGGGTGGGTGGACTTTACTGCCTCCCGTTTGATAGTCACGTTAATGGCTTATGCTAGCTGCTGTGAATGATCGGAGCGATCGATGCACAGCCTCTCCAAAACCCCCCAATCCCCCCCACCCCCTGACTCCCCGCCCCGGGTGCAAACCGCACGCCGTGTTGCTTGCCTGACCTCACGTGAGGCGGCCAATAGTGCAGTCAGTCCATCTTCAAGACAGCAAAAATCACCATCAAACATTAATAAGGGGAAAAAAGCTCAAGATGTCTACAACGGAACAGAAAATTATGCTCTTCGACGGTTTCTATTGTCTTTATTTAAAACGGTAAAACAGAATCGTAATGACCTTGACTTTTACGCCAGAGAAAAACGTTAATGTTATTTTCTTTCACTGAATTCCGCTCGCGACAAACATCAGCGTGGCATCACTCGTAACTGATTATTAATAAGACTCTTAACACTGCGTCATGTGAAATTAAACGCATACATCTGCGCAGGCCTCATGGTTAAAATGCTTCACGTTCAACTGAAGAATATATTTACCCTCTTTTATACTTTGACAAAACATTTTTTGGTAAAATTAAAAAAAAAATTATATCTGGTCTACATTTACATCGTTTTATTAGATTAAAAATGCTTTTACTCAGTTAAGAATGGCAGTTATTAAAGTACCTTTGCTCCCTCAGAATAAATTCAAGGCCTCTTAGTCAGCATATTTTTCTTTTTTCTTTCTTTTGTTTCTTTCCATAGGTTCTTTAAGGTAACAACAGACATGCTTGGACAAATATGATACAGTCTTGTTAAATGGTTTTAGTCACTTTTCCAAACTAAAAATCTTTCTTTTTTTCCTCGATTTCAATTAACAATAACATTTACAAAGTGTTCAACAGTACATCAATAAGTCGAGTGAAAACTTCCAAAAAGTTATCCGCCTTGATCTGTTTTGTAAATATTTATATGTATATATATTTTTTCTCTCTTCCTTAGCAGAGTTTGGTAGTCAGGTGGTCAGATTGTTTCAAAATCTCCGTGTTGTACATGTCCAAGGCGTGGTTGACCCGGATCATCTCGCTGTTGTTGAGTTTCAGCCGATGTTTCAGCATACAGGAGAAGAGGTCGAGCTGCGGTTTGCCGGGGGCCACCGGGGGCGCCAGACGGTTGATCCGGTCCCTGATGTCCAGCAGCAGCAGCATGACGGACGACGACGAGTAAAACTGCGTCCCCTGGGTGTACGACTGGTTCACCTGCTGTACGGCGCTGCGTAGGAGGTCGGCGTTGAAGCGCAGGCTGTATCCGAACACCTGGATGTCAGAGATCTTGATGTAGATCTGCCTCTTGTTGGGGTCGGAGAGATCCACGGGGCCCTGGCCAGTGTCATTGCGCAGCGTGGTAGGCATTTTGGCCCGGCTGCGCAGGTAGATGTGCACCGTCTCAAAGAAGGTCTTCCAGCGGTTGCCGAGCAGCAGGGTCCAGTTGTAGCATTGTGAGCTCTGCAAGCGCACCCTCTCCCAGCGCGGGTAGCCATGCTCACCAAAGGGCATGCTCCACCCTTCTGAGTGGCTGCCACTGAACGGGTTGACGTAAACGAAGAACATGGGGTCGACACTGCTGTTGCGCATCTGGCAGATCTTCATGGAGAGCCCGACGATCATGTGCAGGTAGTCCATGCGGTTCTTGTTGCTCTTGAGCGTGAGAGACATGCGCTTGCGCCACCGTGGGTCGAAGAAGGTCTCCAGGCGGATCTCGTTGCTGATGAAGGTGGTGTGCACGTACAGGCGCGAGTCCATCTTCTGCAGCAGGTACTTCAATTCCAGGTCCTGGAAGTCCAGGTCTGTCTCGAAGCTGATGAACTGCTCGCTGCGCTCCGAGTCCACGTTCTGCGGCTCGCAGCGGCCGCGGTACAGCTTGTAGCCCTTGTTGCAGGAGCCGCACTGTGAGATGTTGGCCAGGCTGCACATGGCGCAGCTGTTGTTGCCGCCGATCACGCAGGGGATGGGCCTCTGGCACAGGCTGCCTCCCGTGTGGCACACGCAGGTCCGTTGGCTCTCCAGGAAGGTGCCCCAGAAGCCGTTCTCGTTGCAGTACAAGAAGGACTGGACCCTGTTCAGCCACTGCAGCACGGACCTGGACAACGGGCAACAGAGGGAAACGATATTCAGCAACATTTGCTCTCAATGCAACCGTGAAGCGACGGCCATTTCCCGCCATTCCCCGAGGCTGCCCGCCTCATTTCCTGAGTAGATCTTTCCGCTCTTCTCCATATTTTCCCCCCAGGCCTCCTCCCCTGTCATCTCTACAGTCCTTTATCTCTGCTAGATGAGGGAGAGTTATGATTTCAGGAGGGAATGTGTCAAGGTTAAAACGACACGAAAATTAACCCAATTTGCAAGGATGACTCTGATGACAGTTGTCCCAGATCAAACTGCAGGGACAGGCGATGGGGCTAGTAGCACAAACCGCTACTGCGGACGAGCTCAAACAGAACCTTGCCGACCGTGGATTAGGCTGTTCCTCTCACCACTGTGATTTGTGATCTTGGTATTTTGTATAAACATCAGTTTGTCACGCTAGTTTCAAAACGAATGAAGTGAGCAGGATATATTACATTTGAAGGCATTTTTTTTGTTCCAAAGTGTCCAATTCAATCCACAATTTTAAACCAGATCACAAGATAGTCATGAGTAAATCTGGGAAACAGGGAAGTTTTGCAAACATCGCTTCGCTTTTCTAAAAGTCAGTAGTGAAGAGACATAAAGAATGAGATCATTGGCTGTGCCATATTGCAGTGCTACAATATCCATAATATGATACAATATCCAGAATATGCACATTCATTGGTTTCCATACATATTGCTGTAGATGCAACGGTTTCAACTGTAATATTTTTGCTAGCTGGCCAATGGTCATCACAAAAAAAATGCAGAGCAAAAGTCACACAGTAAGAACAGTTAGAAAAACTGTAAATGTATGAGCTACTGACAAAGATACTATTTGTTCATCTATTACTAACATTGCATATTTTCACATTACATGGGCCAATTTCCTGAGGACCATTTGCCTGTATGTTTTTTCCATACACAGATATTTTCTATGCTGCTTTCCAATGCTGTTATATAGGAGTACAGTTTATGTGTATATGTCCATACCAAAAAATAATGTCTTCCATTTGCTGCCTATTAGGGACCAAAGAGAGCTGATAGCATCCCAAGCCTGCCTCGCTAGAGGCGGGTCCAGTTTGAGCCGGTACGCACTTCAAAGGCCTCCAGCTGCATCTTTTACTCTCCTGTTACGTATTTTCTCCAGGAGTGACACGGCCACTCTGCAGTTTGCCACAGGGGGCGATATGGAAATGATGGGACTCGACTGAACATGGGTTGTTTGTACAAACCCACACGTAATCCCCACGCCGGTAGCAGGGACTCGGACTGGTTCTGGCACTCAGTGTGGATGACAGACATGACTGCAAGCAGTGCTGCATCCTTCAGGGAGGGAAAGGCAACAGTGCTTCCGGCAAATGAAACACTGGGAATTCCTCGCCGGTATTCTGCGCTGAGTGCAGATGCAGATCAAACACTCCAGCGCATTTTAGTTTTCATCCCTATTTTTTTTCTGTTTTAATTATCAAAACTGTAATTTGGGGGAAATTTCTATCTAATTTCACTGCACAATTTTCAAGAAATTGTCCCCAAATGTCCCCACAATGTGATAAAAAAATGTTATTCTGACTTTTGGGGACCATTTTTTCAGTCCCCACAAGGGAAAACTCAATTTTATAAAAATCTGTCAATGCAATCAAAGAACTAAAAATGTCAAAAGTCTTGTATTTTATTTGGTTACTTATGGTTAAGGTTATGGCTGGGTAGGGGTTAAGGATTCCATTGCTGGGATTAGGGTTTTTCCCATAGGAATGGATGGTTCTCACAAAGATATGAGTACAGGTGTGTGTGTGTGTGTGTGTGTCTGCCTCATACTCTTCTAGTATCACCATAGCAAAGATGTCATAATATCTGATTACGGGTTGATCTAACAGACCCGTGTCTCCAATAACAGGCACATGAGATGCGTGGGTGTGGCAAAGTTCGTTGTTTGCTGTCACAGATCTCTGAGCGTGCCTTAATCAGGGTACGAGTGATGACAGACCGGCCCAATTAAAGCGAAGCCATTAGTCTGGGTGGTAAAGAACAACTACAGGACGCGTTCTGCTCACGGGGAGCAGCAGAGTGTTGCAGGCTGTTCGCTTAATCGCTCACTGCCAGGCGATTAAAAGCCGTGTCTCAGCAACAGCAACCGGAGAAACGGAGACGAGTTTATCAGTCCCACAACTCGCTGGCAAGTCGGGACTGCAGAGAGCAGGTTTTGACCCCCCCTGATCATGTCATTAGTGGCTGATGCATTGGAGGAAAAAAGCTTTTCTATATCATCTTCCGTTTAAATAATTTAATATTTAAATAGCAACATGTTTCCCGATGCTTAATTCATTGTCTTTGGTGTTTATGCATTCATATTCCTCAGCAAGGCATTATCACCTGCCACGAAGACCCTGAAATGCATAAGCAGCTATGGAAAAGGGAAGGAAAGGATGCTTGGATGGAATTATTGGTATACAGGCAGATATTATGCATAACTACAGATATCTGTATTTGGTTGTATCATGTTTATTTACTTATATAATTTTCCCCACATTCTGTTACCTGTCACAAAGGCAATTCTGCTGAAACAGCCCTTGTGTTTTTCCCTAATTCTGGTGCGGTAATTAATTAAATCCGGATACTGGCCAGAAACCCGTATGGCTGACAAGATTAGTGAATTTTCGGAAAGTCTTGCTGCTGTACGGGACAGACTATGTTTTTTTTTTATTTGATAATTATTACAAGGGACTTGGCTGAGAGCTATGTTTCTGCTGAGCCAGGACAAGAGGCTTGGTGATTGTATACACACACACACCATGCAGCGGGACAGTGTTCAGGTCAGGTGGAGGGCAGAGCCGCGTTCCCTTAAGAGCAGCAAAACGGGGAGTCATGACTTTCGACGGTCCTGTGGCGGTGTTGTGGGGGGGAGGGGCAATGAACTTCTGCTCCCATTGCCTTACCACATTTAAGGGCCCCAGTACCAGAAAGGACCATCAGGGTCAAATCAAAATGAAGCACATGGGGTGTGTGTGTGTGCCTGTGTGGGGACAGGATGTGGATGTATATCTCCACACCTGTAGGGGGCGCAATCATCCATTCACTCTGAGCCCTAGATTTGGGACCTGTCACTGTCTCTTACCATGAAAACACCGTGATTTCTGCATTGCCGCATGGCAACGCCTGCTCGGTTCCCTCGACGACCGTGACGGCGGTAATGTCATTTTCCATCAAAGCGTAGAGCGCGGTACATCAAACGCTTAAACGCCGGAGAAGCGCCCACCGTGCAGGCAGAGATTAACTGTCACCTAAACGACTTAATGCCATTTGTGTGCTTGCACTAAATGTAAATTATGTTCATTTATTTTGTCTTGTTTCAATTACATGGCTTTGATGGCACCCTTGATATTGTCACAAACATCCATTAGCATTAGTAGTAAGTGTGTTTAGGTTACTGCGAATTTACACGTGCTGGCTTCGCCTTGTTCGATCCCCTCATCCAGATAGATTTTTAATTATCCATGTTCCCTGGCGTTGGGCACATTTTGTCCTCAAGTCACTCACAAACACATAGATGATGAATAGAACGTTCTAGGTTTTATCCTGGGGACCTTTCCTACTTCCTCTGGGTGTGCAGAGGGGACCGTCTCTCTCCCAAATGTCGATATCTGCATTACTTTGCAAAAAGTAGCCCAAGGGATTTCCGACAGAACCTCAGACTTTTTGCTAGACAAAGTTCTTTTGCCTGTATCATATTTAATTTCTGTCACAGCCTTAGACATACCACACTCTGAGGTCATTTATTTTTGACAGAGGGCTGTTTGTCATATGGCTACAGGACAGACACCTAAAGTAATTTCTTGCATCAGCATGCATTCTTGTATTTATTTAATTAAAACATGTTCTTATTATACATTAATGTTTGCTCCAAGACCCTGACCAGGATAAGAGGATGGACAGAGGATGGACAGAGGATGGACATAATCCTATTTGCATTCTCAACCCAGTCCTCTGGAACCCCCAGGCAGTCTGCATTCCTGCTTCCTCCGAGTTCCAAGCACATCTGAACCAATCAATCAAGCAATCAAGAACACCAAATACCTGGTATATTGGGAGCTGGGATGGAATAAAACATGGACTGTCTGGCGGCCCCCGAGGACCGGACTGGGAAACACTGCCCTATAAGCTTGGAAAACACAGGGAACGTCACATGTATCTAAGAGGTCCACGGGAACTCTGCCATGCAAATGAAGTTCACCAGCCCCAGGACACTGGGTGGCTGTGGGCTGCAAGGTGGTGGGGAGATCAGTGGCACAGTCAGGAGACTGCTAAAAGGACGCCCTGGAGAAGCTCACCTCTCCCTGGGCATCTGGTGGCTGGGCTTGTGGTGGCAGCGCACGCTCAGGCTGAAGAGCTTGCGGGCCGTACGCTGCATCTTCAGCCGCTGGGCCTCCAGGGAGCTCTGCAGCAGCCGGAAGCGGGCCTGGAGATCCCAGTCACTGCCCCAAAGTAGGTGCACGCTGCTCACCGGCAGGAAGTGAGTCGAGGGCAGCCTCTTCAGGAAGGACTTGAACTCGTCTGAGAGGACAGACAGTGAAGGGGTTAGCATTGGTGCTAGGGGCACACATCTTAGGAGATAGGAGACACCTTTGGGAGGACAGGCAGGGACAGAGTTAGCATTGGTGCTAGGGGCACACATCTTAGGAGATAGGAGAC